CCTGCTCCTGTCAAAGGGCAAGAGCAGCAATTGTCTTGGAAGCCTAGCCACTATTTTGCGTCTTTCATAATATCCCTGACCTAATAGCATTCCAGGGAACAGTGGGAAGAAAATGGTACCCACCATAAAAAAGAAGTTTGTGAGTATTTGTGAAAATTCTGCAACATAGCCTTCTGTTTCAAGAGGATAGAGAAAAAGAGTAATATGTGACTTTCCACCCAGAAAAAAAGTATACTAGGAAATTTCATCTTATTCTGAAAGCATTCATATATACACCTTATATTCCTAAATGGAAAAGGAGTTTATCTGTCTTATTTTTGCAATCTACTAAGGGCAAAGCAATTGATGGCTTATAGTAGGCCTGTTGGTGAAACATTTCCCACCATCTAACATTTACAGTGGTATAGCACCATATTGATAAAAAAGCCACAGTTCCATAATGCAATGGTAAGGTAAAGGGACCCCTGACCGTTAGGTCCAGTTGTGGACAACTCTGGGGTTGCGGCGCTCATCTCGTTTTATTTGCTGAGGGAGCTGGTGTACAGTATATCCCACATCTGAATGCAGCTTGGACTGGGCAGTCATTCAAAGAGAGGACTGCTTCAAAGAGACGACTGTGACCACCATACATAAAAAGCTATAAAATGTCAGTTCTAAAAATGTCAGATTTAACCTCAGCATAGTCATGGTGCCCCTTTGGGTTAAGCCAAAGTCAATGGGATAGAGAGCCAACCATTCCAGTGAACAAGATAGACGTATCTGTTGGCCAAATCATTTTTTAAGTGACTTAAAATAGTCCAGGGGGTATCGTGGGCCAGCCTGTGAGTAATTTAAACCTATGTGGTGACAGGCAGTGTGGATTTTCACATGCTAATTTTCCAGTTTATTAAAAAAAGAAAACCTTGAAAGACTTAGTATATATATCCATGTCTGGCTCCCAAGAAACTGTAATACTGACAAGTTATGTGGATTTTCACATGCTTATTTACCCCCTCAAAACTGAATATGTCTACCATAGGGGCCTTTGTATCACGTTACCTACAGAATGGTCCTCTTATAAGACTCAATAAGTGGTCTCACGTGTCTGCCATAACCTTAGCTATGTTTGCCAAGCTGAAAAGGAACAGAAAAGCAAAACAGAAGCTGCCCTTTCCGACCCAGATTAAACATATAGCTTCTCTGGAGAAAACAGTTCTCTTTGCCTGAGAGAGCTCTCAGTGATACCATAGGCATGATCTAATAATAATGGAACTCTGCATCTGTCCGGCTCCTTTTAAAATGAAGAATTCCAAGGCACTATTACATCGTAAGGCAATAGCCAATAAGAGTTAACTGCCTATTATCACTTGTCACACTGAAGCCTAAAATGTTATTTCACAATTATGATAACCACGGCTAGGTGCAGAAGGGGGAAGCAGAAGGCTTTACTCATTGTCAACAGAATGGACCAATAGGAATGACATTACATCATGACATTCTTCATGAAAAAAAGAAAAGATGGCTTTGACTGCAGAGGGAATATTTTGGCCTCTAAAAATGTTTCTTTGTCATCCTACGCTACCTGCAGAGTATGACCTTCCCAAACTCTGATGGGCATTACATTCCAAAGTTTGGAGAGAGATTCCCAGTTATCAAGCAACGTTAAACATTGTTAAAGTCCCCAACTGCTCAGCTGCCCATTCACAGCAATCAAGGCAGTCAAAACTCATAATATGTTTTTTAACTATCCTGAAAGCATGCTGTCACGTTTATTTAGTGCACTACACAGAGGCACCTGAAATAAACAGTTTTGCCTTGGCAATCTTAGCAGAGCTGGACATATATGAGGGTTTTTTGCATCATCTTCTGGGAGTTTTAGCACTTACAGCAATGTTGCAGAAGCCTGAGAGTGATGACACCCTAGAGCAATTTTACCTGGGATGTGGTTTTGGAAACAAGAACAGGATTGTGGGCTAGTTTCTGCAATTTCAAGTGGTAGTAGATAACCAGCTGCAATGTATCCTGAGTAAATGTTATTGTGGCAGCCCCTAAGAGCAGAGTTTACTTGAGAAAGGTTGATCGAAATTGCAGTTCCTTTAATAAAACACTGCAGCTGCAGTTAAATCCATATCTTTTGTCTGCTGTTTTCATTCCAGATCTGACGACAAGCGTAAAATGAGATGTTCTGAACATTTTAAAATCGAGGGTGGGGGCAGGAGTCTCGATTTCCATTATAGATGAAATAAATGCCCCCCCATTTTTTTAAATAAAAAAATAAATTAAGTAGTGCCTGTAGCATGCTTCCCTAGTTATTATGTGTTTCCACATTCTTTCCAAGCAGTTTTGGGTGGCACGAACTCTGTCCCACTCCATTTGCCATAATAATTGCCAGCTTAGGCATCTTCAGACTCAGCACTTCAAGGCTTAACAGTTCTGGAAATGGAATTCACAGCACGGCATTGCCTCAGTGTTCCAGACCTGCACCAGCCTTCCCCACCTTGCAGAAACAGCTGTCTTTGCATTCAGGCCTTGGAAAAATGAGGAGCCTGGACATTCTGCTTGTGCAGACAGGGAAAGTTAGAGTATGATCATAGGAGTGGTTTAATAGTGAGATCTTAAACTCTGATCTTTCAGATACTTGCTTGGAAGCTTAAATGTATTAGTCTTGACTTATTAGACCCTAAAAAGCTTGCAGCCAAGCTACGTGAAAGACCTCTTCCTTATTTATAGACTGCCCAGGTCAGTCCACTGCAGGGGAGACTCTCACACTGAACATATGTTGCTCTGGCTCAGAGCTTGGAAAGTTCATTCCAAAAAGCAAGTAGTTCTAGTTCAATGTCCAAAAAGGGAACTAAATCCAATTCACAATCACATTCAGTTCACAGTTCAATTCAAGTTCATCCAAATGATCCCTGTGGGAATTCAGGCTACCTGGGTCTCAGGATAGCCAGGAAGGGAGAAGACTCCCAACCCAGTACCAAGGCATGAGGTGATCCTTTATATCAATTAGAATACCTCAAGTGTGGGATTGTTAAGAGAGTGGGTAACCAACGAGAAGTGCCCCTTGCTCATGAACCAAAGTTTTAAGCTGTGAAGGAAACTGTATGGTATTGAAAGTATTTAACTGTAATATCCAAGTAACAGAAACTGAGCTGAGCATTTTGCCATCTATTCTAGAAACCTGAACATCTACCACCTGAAGTGTAACACCTGATTTTGAGTAACTGGAGTTTAAGAAGAGCTGTGCCTATAGTGTTGTGTTAAAGCCTGAGACGTCTTAGTTAGTTAAAGTCAACAAGTTAACTTTTACCTGAAAGAATGCATTCCCTGACCCACTTTGCTTCATAAACCTCTTTTGTCTAATAACACTTTTCTTATTTGTTTGATCAACTCCTGCCTGAGACTCTAATCACTAAGTTTGCCCTCACACAAGTCCTGCACCCACATAACAGCCTGTGGTCAATTGTAGAAATTTGTCCACAGTGAGGTGGGTGCACTATATTTAATAGGGGGCAGATAGCGGGAGTGGATCTGCCACATTATTAATTGGTAGTATTAAGTGGTGGGTTCACTACACTTCTCTACTCCTGGAGGCTCCCCACATGATTTAAAACCCTAATTGCACTTGATTCTAATTTGCACAGGGGGCCTCTATGACAGATATGATCGCCATCTTCAAATACTTCAATGGCTGTCACATGGAAGATGGAGCAAGCTTGTTTTCTCCTGCTCTGGAGGGTAAGACTCGAACCAATGGCTTCAAGTTACAAGAAAGGAGACTCCGACTCAAACATCAAGAAGAACTTGAGTGTGTTTGCCTGGCTGAAATGTCCCCTTGCATCTCTTGTTTGTCTGCATGGAGGATAGACAGAGAGGTATGAATAGAAACTACCCTCAAGTACAAAAGATGATAGATAGATAGATAGATAGATAGATAGATAGATAGATAGATAAAATTGTTGCTTCATCTATAAGGTATGACTGGAAAGTTTGGTGAATGGTCACAGCGAGAAATATTCGAACATATAATCGGCAACGGAAACCCACAAAATGCTCACAATTTGTGTACAGAGATGAAGTTGTAACTCGAAAGACAGTATATGAGTGGTTTAAGCATTTCTGTGAAGGGTGGCAAACCATCAAAGATGACCCTTGGTCTGGCAGACCGTAGATGAGCAGAACGGTGGCAAATGTCGACAGAGTTTGTGAGTTATTGATGTTGGATTGGAGTTTGTCCGTCCGAATGATGGCGGAAGAATTGCATATTCTGCGTGAAATCATTACTGAGGTTACTGAGTTGTCCCATCCACCATATTCTCCTGATCTAGCCCCACCGGATTTCTTTCTTTTTCCAAAACTGAAATCTGCACTGAAAGGGCACAGATTTCCCAACATTTCACACGTCCAAGCTGCTGTGATGAGTGAACTGAAATCAGTACGAAAAGAGGACTTCTCCAGAAGTTTCCAACAGTTCTATGAACATTGTCAATGGTGCATGGTATCAGAGGGGGCCTACTTTGAAGGCCTGTAAGGTATGTATGTTCGAATATTTCTCACTGTCTGATTTCTGTGACCATTCACCAGACTTTCCAGTCAAACCTTGTATTTTGCTTCTGGCTCTGCCTACCTCTGCCATGTGGCCCCAGGAGGCTGACCAGATGCCAACATGGCCCTCAGTGTCAAAATGTTTCACCACTCCTGGTTTATGGAAAATAAAGGCGGGCAAGAAGGACCAGTGTCTAAACGAGATGCTGCTTTGCAACATATCCGTGGAGTATGTGGGATATGGATGAAAGTGAATGGATCATTATTATTATTTCACCTTTGTAAGGTTCTCAAGGGCACCATTAACTGTGGTACAGTTAGACTAGTATTCTCAGGGACAATATTTAAGTGAATTATACTGTAATGAGCATGAAGCAAAATGTTGCTGAAGCTAATGAGTATTATGCAAACTTGAATAATAATAAAACTGGGACAAAATTTATATTGTAATTCAAGTGTGTTTGAGAGAAAGAGAAGGCTGGACTGTGGCTCAGAGGCAGAGCATGTGCTTTACATGCAAAGGGTTCCTGGTTCAGTCCTTGGCACCTCCCAGTCATTGGCTGGGAGAGAACCCTATCTGAAAACCCTGGAGTACCTCTGCCAACCACTGTATACAACACTGAGCAAGGTGCATCAATGATGTCACTTGGCTTAAGGTAGGTTTGCCATATTTCTCTGTTGAGAAAGAGAGAGACAGAGATCCCTCTCTCACACCTTTCTAACTATACAACCTACACTCAGGCTAGAATTCTGAAAAGCCTTAAATTCTACAATTGCTCCACCCCCCACGCAATTCTATGCTCCAGGAGTGGGGAACTTTATGCTTCCCTCTCCAGCCCTTGAGACTCTCCCGAGGCCACACCTTCTCTTTTCAGGCCATGTCCATCAGTGGCTGGAATGTCTTCCTGAACTGCTTTCATGTCTCCTGCTTGCCTGGATGGAGAAGTCTCTCTCTGTGTAGAAGTGTATGACTTTTGCATGGCTGGAATGTAGCTTATTGGGCAAAGGTAAGATTCATAGCCCTTTCTCCACCCAGTTTTTGCCTCTGGTCCTGTCAGCCAAGAAAGTGGTAAGGAGGAAAGTGGAGGCAATGTGGCCCTGACCTGGAAATATAGCAGACCTCCACTCTGCTATATTTATTCATTTCAGTAAAGTAATGGATATGGGTTGTTATTATTCTTTTTTTAAAAAAACCCTCCGCTTATGGACAAACTCCATGTTATACACAACACACCCTTTAGAAAATGAGATAAGGCCTCTTTTGCGGGGATATTCTGGACCAGGGAAATGCTTCCAAAGTGCAAATAATTCCCAGTGTGATTTCCCACCCACACTTTGTGTGTGTGTGTGTGTGTGTGTGTGTGTGTGTATATATATATATATATATATATATGTTTTCTCTTAAAAAACATGCAAGCAATGCCCAGAACCTTGGGAGGTGTATCGGTTTCATGTTTTAATAAACAGATCAAGAAGGTGAATCACACACAGAGACAGAGAATCCCGCCCCCCATGGACATCGAACAAAGCTGAATGTTGGAAGATTCAAGACAGACAAAGGGAAATAATTCCTCACACATTACAGAGTTTCACTTTTTGCTGTAACAGAAAGTGGTGATAGCAACCAACTTGGATGCTTTCAGAGGAGATTGGACAATTTCATGCAGGGTAAGGCTGTCTATGGGTACTAACCCAAATGACTATGTTCTACCTCCACTGCCGGAGACAATATGCCTCTGAATACCAGTTGCTGGAAACTTTAGGTGGGGAGAGTCCTATCGTGAGTTTCCTATAGGCATCTGGTTGTCCGCTATTAGAACATGGTGGTAAGTTAGATGGGTCATTGGCCTGATCCAGCAGGCTCTTCTTTTGTTCTTACTTCTTTGAAAATGTCCAGCACGTAATAAGTATGGGAGCAAAAATGAGGTCGTAGTTATTATCAAGCCTCAAAAAGTACATGTTGGTGGATTTTAGTTGTAAGTTCAGAAACATGGTGCAAATGTGAAAAATGGCAAAGGTTTATCTGCCCTATAATGAGTAGTTCAACAACAACAATGGAGAGCTTTGAGGTTTTCCAAAGAAAAATGCTGCTATATCCAAAAGGAATTATTCAGTGTGTTGTATGCCTATTAGCAATACATTCAAAACACTGATACTTTCATCTGTTTGGTACCAACATTTATTCATGCCACTGTTATGATGGGATATGCCAGGAGGGAGGCTTTTAACAATACAGAAAAATACCTCCGAAATGCACTGTCTAGTACTCATGGTGATGTCAACACAAAACGTTTGCTTCTTGTTCAACTGCACTTTCTAAATGCCCCGAAACTCATATAAAATGCAAGGTAAATTGCAGTTCCTTTTAAAATTATTTCTCTTTGCTATGTATGACCCATTTGGTATCATTTCCACATGGGGAGAACACTCTGTGGTGCACGCAGTGAATCAAATTGTGCTGATCTGAATTAGTCTTCCTTAAACAATTTAGTAATTTGATCAGGTTAAATAAAATTAAGAGAAAACTGTGTACACATGCGCATACACACAAAGAAAGATACCCAGCTTAGCCTAATAATAAAAGGATTTTCTGGACTACAATCTCCAATACAAATGCTTCCTAATACTTTGTAAGTCACTGAGGTTTGCAGATTTGCTGCGTTTAACTGCCCGGGAACACATTTTAGCACATCTGCATGCCAACAAACATGATGTTCAGAGTCCGCTTAGCTAATCACAAGCATAGTGTGTCCTGCTGGCTCCAGGGAGTTCTTGATGTGTAGTACCAAAACATGGAGTGCATCACATGCTGAGGATATCCTACACCATCTTGAAAATAAATTGTGCTTTTTGCAAAGCATTTCCCCGAAGCTCTCTTCAGCGTATTACTGCAAACTGTTATAGATTGTTTTACTAGAAATAAGCCAAGCCATCCAAGCTGTGGTAATTTCGGGCAATTACAAGCAGAGATATGAACCCAAGTTTAGCAGCTGTTCAGTTTCATCTGCCTGATGATGAGAAAGCAGTGTTCGCTACTGCGGTGCCAACAGATTGCCAGGAAACTGCCAAAGCCATCCACAGTCTTCAGAGGTTAAACACTAGAGGCAAGGGGTGGATTCACACGTCCTCTGGAGTTCTGCTCCTGGGATGCTCTGTTGAAAGTAGGGTGAGACATGCTTTCTTATTCCAACCGCAACCCCCTATGCCTTCTGAAAATCTGGGAGTTAGGAGACTTTGCAAAACATTATAAAAGGTGGGATTGGGGGCTACAGTTGGAAGTGGGAATTGGGAAAAAAGATTATCCTGCTGTCCTTGAATAGGAGCCATGAATGCAAGGAGCACAAAGTTTAATCTCCAATCCCCCACCCCCAAACAGATTGGCCATGTTAATGAAATCCTACATTGCATTAATGTTGCCAACCTTCATGTCACATTTGCAGACATTGTAAAACAGAGTTGGTTTGCCGACAGGCCTGGTGGCTGATGCCAGTGTTAAGATTCCTGCTCTGTGATTTCAGTCATGGGATTGTTGTCTATCACATGATGGTGTATGTTTTGACTCCACAGTGTGGGAAGTGACGGAGACAGGATGTTTGCGTTACTGTGTTTCCTGAAGTGGGACTATTGTCCTTTGTTCTTTTCTCTTTGCTGTCTGATGCTAGAGAGAGAGATGCTAGAGAGAGAGAGGGAGCCATGTTGCAGTGCTCTCTGTGTGTTTATATGTAAATAAAGTAGATTAGCCAAAATGCTGAGTTGCTGAGGTCTGTGTAGAAGTGTATGAGAGTCTGCTGAGAGTCTGCAAACACTCCGTGGATCCCTAAGTGTGCCGGTGTCTGTTGGCATCAGTCGCTGTGATGTTTGGGCTGAAGAAAGCTTTTGAAGCTCCCGAACGATTGACCAGGAGGGAGAGAACATGCCAGTTGGGCATGTGTCTCTGCCAGGGTCCTACTCGAGTGTAGGATGAGCTCCTGACAGCCAGCTCCCCATAGAACACATCTTTGGGGATTCTTGTAGATGATCACAGTGCCACAGTCAGGTTGTGTATCCACAGCAGTGACCAGAGGAGGACGGACTGCGAGGAGGAGTACAGAAAGAATTGCCATGGTAGAGCTGCTTCAGCACAACCAGACCCTTTGTCTGCCCCAGCTGCAACAAAACATATCTCTCCTGTATTGGTCTGTACAACCACAGCAGGCGCTGTAACTCCCCAATGGTTTGGGGAGGCACACCCTTCCCTTACTTTCTGAGACAGAAGGATGCGAACCGCCACTGAACTAGTATCAATGAGGCTTGTGCCCATGTATGTAGCTGCTTCATTTCTCAGTGAGCCTGAATGCAGTGTGAAAGTATCCAATTAACCATAGTTTCAGTTTTGTCTGAACCATGAAATTATGGTTATCAGCATCAGCACAAACCAGGATACGCTAGCACAGGTTGAAATTTGGTTTAAGATCCTGACATTTTCTGAAGCTGGGAACCAAAATGTCCTGCTTAACTGTGGTTCAATGCTTAGCTGTGCATTGTAGATATTAATATTGCTGCTGCTATTTAGTTTAGAGAAAGGGCATGAGAGAAAAAGATCCGCCATGCTCTCTTACCATTTCTACACTCTTCAGAGAAAGCCACAGGGGAGCAGCTAATAAGCAAAACAATCTGGCCACATTTGGTTTGACCCACTATTATAAAACTCAGAGGGGGAAGGCTCATGTTCCAGTCTATGATACATTCCTAGAGAACAAAGTGAGAAATGCAGGCTCGTTTCCTTGAGCTACATATTTGAAAAGTGAACAGGAGTGAGTCCTTACCTCTCACCTCCTCTGCAGTTCCATCATTGATATCCACATGCTGTTCCGAACTAAAACATCCCACATATACCTGTCATAATGGAACCTATGGGTTTCTGACCAATACCCAGGGAGCACGCTGCACTTGGCTCTGAAACACCTGCCATTTAGAAGCCTGCAACAGCAGCTAAAGCATCATGGTGCATCTTTGCCTTGGTTCCAGCTGATATATTAATCTTGAGCGTCTCCCTTGTATTAATTAAAGGGATGTTAACCTCTGGCCCACAGTTGGGAGGGCCTTCCCATCAGCCATCAGAGCTTTTCCATGGGGTTTTGTATCATCAGTGAGAGATCAATAACAAGCTCAAGCTAAATTATGGTGGGTGTCCAAATAGGGAAAAGATTAACATCGGGGATAATATTTTTCTCTGCCTGTTTTCCTCCCTACCACGGTAGAATGGCTAATAGATTCCTTTCAAATTGCATCCTACTCAGACTTGATGCTTGCTAATGAAGGAGCTTTTTTTGAAGATTGGTAGCTGGAGAAACAGTTTTGAATACCAATCCCCAGGGCAGAATGGACATGGTCCTGCAGACGTACGGCTTGAACCAGGAACCAGGCTGAAATTTCTCGGAGAAGATTTTTTCCTAAGAACATTTCAGAGAATGTTCATATCCACACACGAACACAACAGACCCTGAAAATGAAGGCCATTTTGCTAAATGTTCTCTGTCATTCTTTTGTATTGTTTTTGTGATGGGTGCCATTTAC